CCTTTTAAAAATGTTTTTCTGGGGCTAAGAAGCAACTCTGAAGTCTGGGATTAATTTGCTTAGGAAATAGAAATCTTACTGATAGAAACAACCTTGTTAAAAATCAAACATAACATCAATTATTTTCTTTACAAAATTCCAAACTAGAATTAGTGTATATTTTTTCCTACTTAAATTGACAGCTTGTTTGGACACACATGTGTTCAAACAGCCAAAGTAACAAGGGATATGGGGGAGGGGGAGCTGGTTATAGTATCCTTCATACAAAAAAACTTCCAAATTTTGTAAAAGTCAAATTTTTAACAATTAATCAATTCATATCGATACATATGGCCTTAAATCATTGCTAGCCTAAGTGTTGCCTTTAAGCATTTTAGTGTTTTTTTTTTTTTTTCCAAGCTGCCACCTATGTGAGGCAATTCAGTGTGTTCGACATCACTTATTTAAACAACAGCATAAATCAAAGGGATTGCAGAATTGGAAAGGACCCGAGAAACCTTGATTTCACTGATGAAGAAGCCATTGTCTCAAGGGCTAAAGCAACAGAACCAGAACTAGATGCCAAGAAGCTGAGTTTCTGTGTCAACCTCATGCTGTCCTGGTGAGCAGGAGGAGACAGTTGGAGCAACAAATCATACTTTTATTTTGCATTAACCCATTTAAGTTCCTCTGCCAATGAATCTACTGATGTAGGCTGATTGATTTTAGTCCTAATTGTCAGCACTGAGCTTTCTAGAACACATACCTTGATCCCTTCTGAGTAGACCTTTATTAAGAAGGTTAGAAAATTTTGTCTCCCTGCTGTATTTTTAGAAAAGAACACAATAATTCTGCAGTCTGTATTTATTCTCTGACCATGGTTCTGTTAGAAGTGTGGTGAGAAAATGTGGCCATTGTTCTCCCTAACATTTATTTCAGAATTTAGGGTTATGTACCGAACACAATTTATTTTAATGTATAAACCTATTGTCTTTTAATTTCTCTAAATACTTTTGGACTGCCATGCACTTGGCCTGTGCTTCCTTTCATGAAAATTGGCTCCATAAATATATTAGGCAGTGTGAATAGATCATTTTCTCCTTCTTCTTCTTCTTATTATGTAATGTTTCCTTCAGTTGGCTTTGTGTGTGAAGGTAACCTGGTCATCATGCAGGAATTATGTACTGAAAATCATATGCCAAGTACCGAACTAGTCAAAGAAGATAAATCTGGGCACTACCTTCATTCTAGCAGGAGGAGAAAAATATTAAAGAAACAATCTCACAAATACTCATCTACCAACTGTGATAAGTATTATCAAAAATATATAGGGTGTTACGAACGATTATCACAAGACTACTGTTTATACCCTCATACCTCGTCTCGCCCTTGTTTGTGGGCATGAGAGAGAGTGTTACACTAACAAGCACTTTCTGAGGACATCTTTTCACCATCTCAACTGCACTACTGACTTGGGAGGCTGGCTGTGCACCCTGCTGGATATGACAGTACAGTAGAATGGGGACAGAATTTCCAAGTTCTGACTACAGTTCTGATAAGAGCTACCATAGGCCAGCGCCGCGGCTCACTAGGCTAATCCTCTGCCTGCGGCGCCGGCACACCGGGTTCTAGTCCTGGTTGGGGCGCCAGATTCTGTCCCAGTTGCTCCTCTTCCAGTCCAGCTCTCTGCTGTGGCCCGGGAGTGCAGTGGAGGATGGCCTAAGTCCTTGGGCCCTGCACCCGCATGGGAGACCAGCAGAAGCACCTGGCTCCTGGCTTCGGATCAGCACGGTATGCAGACTGCAGTGCGCTGGTCACAGCGGCCATTGGGGGATGAACCAACGGCAAAGGAAGACCTTTCTCTGTGTCTGTTTCTCTCACTGTCCACTCTGCCTATAAAAAAAAAAAAAAAAAGGAGCTACCCTTAAGAATTCAGGGAAGTCGTTTAATATCTCTGACCCTCAGTTTTCCTGGTCAAAAAATCCCAGTACTTCCATTCTTGGATTATATGTACTGGTACTAAGTGGTTATTACTTTATGAGCACAAGCAGGAATAGTCTTTAGCTCTCCACACAGAAACTGAATGCATGTTCTTGAGACTATTAATCACTTTAAAATTCCACTCACATCCCTCTGTGATGTTCAATTTGCCTGAGATATTTGGGGATATTATAATCCAGAGAAGTTAAAATCATATGCACTTTGATAATGAACAAGGCATACCTTTGAGATGCTTTATAAATTATGACGAGTCCCTAGAATGGAACTGAAAAAACTAAACTAATACTCTTGATATAGAAACATTCCCACTTAAAAAATATTGTTTTACTTTTCTAGATGTAAAGATATTCAACTGAAATGTGAATTTACTATTCATGTCAAATTAAACTAGTTTATTTGCAGTTCCAAATGAAAGCATATTGCTCCTTATTGAGTTTTTTCCAATTAGGCAATCATTGGTGCAATACAAAAGAGGTAGCCAGAATCACAAGTAAGCAGGCTCCTTAATCCAAAATGATTGTTCACATATTTCCTCTGAATCTCTTTTATACATCTCCCCAAGTCATTGTGCATACAATTTTGTTTTCTGAAGCAGAAACATACATTTAACCTGATTTTACACATGAGATACTGTCAAGTATCTCAGAAAAATTTAAGTGACAATGTTAAGTAAAAATATCAGCTAAAAAATGCTGCACAACACCTTTTGTTAGCTTTGTTAACTAAGCAGGACACGCACTGATTTCATAGAAAAGGAGTTACCAACAAGGAAGAGTTGGTGGTAAAAATGATAATTATAGTACTTATAGTACTCTTTTTTTTATTCGTGTATCGTATTCTGTCAAGGGAATGAACTATGATTTACTAAAGCATAGCTCTTATGTTGGACAGCTTGAGTGCTATCCATTTTTATATAGTATAAATTATATGGGGATAAGCATTGTCAGACATATGGCATTTTAAAATATTTTGTATTATTTCCTTAGGATAGATTCCCAAAATTAGAATTACTAGGTTGGAGGGTATGAACATTTTTATGGCACTTGAAACACACTGCCAAATAAGTTTCAAAAAAGGTTATGTCAGTGTACAATGCCATTATCAATATAGAAGGGTGGCCTTCTCATAATACTGTCAAAAGTACTGGATATTGCACAAGTTTTAGATTTGCAAATCTTATGGGTAAGAATGTCCTACCTCATTGTAATAGATATTTCCTCAAGTTTTTGAGGCAAAATAAGTATTTTGTATATAGTTTAATAACCGTAAATTTCTTACCTGTCCTTTACCTATTATGTTTGATATTTTTATAAGCCTATACAGATTTCCGACATGTACTTATCCTTTTTTATAGTACAGACAATTTTGTCTTGTCGTTTCAGTTTGGTGTATGTGTGTATGTATGTGTATGTGTATAGGAAGGCATATTGAGAATTCAATTTTTGTACCCAAATACATTTTTCTCCTGTGATTTTTTTAATTTGTTACTTTTATGCATAGTATGTGAAAACTTGTGCGTATCTACATCAAGTGCTCAAATCCTTTTGATTTTTCTGAAGAATGACTTAAAAAACATGACATTTGAATTCATTTGTAATTTATTTAAAGGCATTTGAATTTTTAAAGTTTTATTTATTTATTTGAAAGGGCAACAGAAAGAGAGACAGAGAAAGAGAGACAGAGAGACAGAGAGAGAGAGAGAGAGAGAGATGGATAGAGATCTTCTATCCACTGGTTCACTCCCCATATACCAATAGCGGCCAGGGCCAGGACAGGTGGAAACCAGGACCCAGGAACCCAATTCAGATCTCCCATGTGGGTGACAGGGACCCAAGTACTTGGGCCATTACCTGCTGCTTCTTAGGGTGCACTTTAGCAAGATGCTGGATCTGAGGCAGAGCAGTGACTCCCATAGGGGAGCAGGAGCCTCAGTGGACTCTGTGCCACAACACCCACATAGGTGTACCCATACAAAGGTACTTCGAAAAGTTCACATATCCTCATACTATATAAGACATGGTTTTAACTGATCGTTTCCCATATTAGTAACTAGTTATCACAGTATCATTAATTGCACAATCCTCTTTTCTGTGTTTTAGGTGAGGTCTTATTTGTTACCTATTAAATTATCAAATTCTTGGTTGCTTCTCTTTCAGTGATTTATTTGTTCTTGAACCAGAAGTTATTTATGGTTTTATTTAATGTATGGTCTACTCACATTACTTTTTCAGGATTTTAAGAATGGTTTTCCTGATTTTTTTCTTGGACCAAATTTAACATTTTGACATTCTGCTTGAATTTTATCATTCCTTTTAATTTATAGAAGATGTAATTTAAAAAGACTTGTTAAAATAGAATTTAATTTCACCAAATCAATACTTCTTTATTTATTCATAACTTTTCTTCTGTCATTTTAAAAGTAGCACCTACTAATTAAAGAAAATTAGGAAAATATCAATCATAGAGAGAAGAGACTGCAGGACCAGGAAGAGCTATTGCTGCTACTGATACATAACATACTGCTATTATTGGTCTTTTATACAAATATATATACAAATACATGTATAAATATAATTGAATTTTTGGAAACTTTTGTTGTGTTGTCCCAATTTACCATGTTAAGTTGGCATTGTACAGAGATGAACAACCATATTGGTCTAGAGATGTTAAACTTATCATTTCTTTACCTTTGTACATGTATTGTATATTAAATGCACCATATTAAACATGTAAGGTCTTATGTGGGTTTGATTACAGAACTAATAAAGTATTCTCTAAATAACAAAATAAAAGAAGGTTATTCAATCACTCTAAAATGTTAGGCGATGTTTCAAAGTATTTTCCTTTCATACAGTCATCTTTTAAGACTATGGTGCATATTAATCTGATAAATATTTATTGAGCACTTACGTTGTGCTAGATATCTTGCTAGGCTCTGAATTCACAGTGAATAAAATAAACAGAATTCTGCCCTCATTAGCACATTATCATACTTTGTTTTTGTATTTTTGTCTACTCACATGTATTATTTTGATAGCTGCAAATTTCATTGTGTAGGTGAACCACTGTGCAGAATCATTTTCGTGCAGTTGGGTATTTCCAATTTTTCTATGTTATTTTCCTCACATTTAGATACGTTTCCTGAAATGAAGAAATTTGGTCAAAGTGGATGCTACATTCAAGGCCTTTGATAAAATTTCCAAATTGTTTTGATTATTACAATCAGCAATGGTTATAATCACTAAAAGTGTTTTTTCATATTTTGATAGGTATCTCATTTTATCCTTTCTTTGTTAATCAGAAGGCTGACCTTTTTTTTAATGCTAACTATTTCTTTCACAATGTTCCTGTTCATGGCCTTGGTGCCATGTCTAAGGCACAACCCCTTGCCTGGCAAGCTGCAGGTTTTCACGCCTGACGTCACAGAGGCATACCCAGGCATCAAGCAATGCAGAGACCGCTGGAGTCCAGACACACCATACCATGGCTAACACAGCTTTGTAAACGGAGCCTGGGCCACAACATGCCTTCCAGTAAGGCAATCTCATTCTTATGGGTGGAAAGAGAAAACGTTACAGCCAGAGGACAAAAGGATGCAAGAACTGGGTAAGCATCAGAGACAGCCAGACGAAAAGGAAGATGTGAAATGAAGGAATACTGAGGAAAGTTACTGCGGAGAGGAAACAAGAGCATCCTAAAATCAACGAAACAAGTAGTACATATTTTTTCTACATCTATTATGTGTGAGGTATGTAGCCTCACCCCACAATCACTCAATTCAGAAACTTCTTAGGCACCTCAAGTGATATATTTCTGTATGATTCTTGGTTATATCCACACACCTACAAAATGCTGAGACCCACTGAAAGGCTCGGGAGAAAAGCATGTCCCAGACTGGGCAGAGGTAAAGGATTCTGAGATCTGCCTTGGCCGCCAAAAGTGCTTGGTCACATTTGGTGGAAAGGAGGAAGGGGGTTGTGGCAGTATCTGCGGCACACAGCTCTATGTTCCCTTTTGCCTCTGTCTCAGAGCTGGGCATGAGAGGCTGGTGAGATCCAATACCAACAAGGGGTTGGGGGAGAGATCAAATAGCTGGTGTCTGCTCTATGGTACTGTTTTGAGGGTCCTTATGGGAAAATTTTTTATTATGTAGTTTATGCAATAACTTCCATTATCAGATTGTACTCTTCCTGGAGTGTGTGTAAAATGTGCTCCGTAATTTCAACAATAGAAAGTAAAAAGCAGCAACAGCAGAGTGTCAGATTAGAAAGCACGCAGAACTTGGATTTGCTTCCCGTCAAGGTGGCAGTATCACATTGCCTGGGAGGAATCCTTTAAAGAGGGATCCCTTCAGTGAGCTGAGTGAGGGCAGCCAGGCACCCAGCACTGTGTGACAGGCCACCGCCCCCTGACTTTAAGGAGCCATTCACTGTCTTGATTGTGACTTTACCAGTAGGGAAAGCATTATTTATTGAACACCTAGTAAGTTCCAGGTATTTTGCCAAGAGTATTGACTATGTTACTTGCATTGTCCCTGGGCCTGCTGATCCCTCCAGGCCCAGAGCAGCGTAACTTCTTTCCATCCACACCCCAGGACCCATAACTCCAAGCTGAATGAATACTCCCATTACTAATTAATTGACAATTAATAACGCTCCACTCTCACTGTCAACTCCATTAATGCAGCGCTTGTCATTCTGTTGTCTCCTTTTCTGGCTGTCTCACTACACACTGAGCTTGGCAAGAGCATAACCCATGTTTCACTCTAATTTTCCAAGCATTTAGTAGTTGCTAAATATTCTGCCACATGAACGTGAAGTGGAGCTCCATGATTTCACCAGAGACTCACGGCATTTTTGAGCATGGGAGGATTTCTAGAATCTTTGAAACAATCTCCTTTTACATATGAGATGAAGCTGGAACATGTAATTTGCCTGAGGTCACATGAACTTGGTAAATGAGGATTAAAATCCACTTCACTTGCTTTTCAGCTGTTTCTTCTACACTATTTCTTCTATAGAAGATGCCACCAAAACACAGCCAAGTATTTTATTTCCTAATCTCCCAACGCAACCCAAATCATATCAGCAATTGGTGTCCACGCTATTTCTGTGATATTAATGTTCCTAAAATAACTCATTTTTTAAAAATATATTTTAAGATTTATTTATTTAAAAGTCAGTGTTACACAGAGGGAGGGAGGGAGGCAGGGAGAGAGAGAGTGAGGAAGGGGTCTTCCATCTGCTGGTTCACTCTCCAGTTGGCCGCAACAGGATCCTGGCACCAATCTGAAACCAGGAGCCTGGAGCTTCTTCCAGGTCTCCCACACAGGTGCCATCTTCTACTGCTTTTCCAGGCCATAGAAGAGAGCTGGATCAGAAGTGGAGCAACCGGGACTCGAAACTGGTGCTCATATGGGATACCAGCACTATAGGCAGTGGGTTTACCTGCTATGCCATAGCACCAGCCCCCAAAACTCACTTTTTAAAAAAGATTTATTTATTTATTTGAGAGGGAGAGTTACACAGACACAGAAAAATGTCTTCCATCTGTTGGTTCACTCCTTAAATGGCTGCAACTGCAGGAGCTGAGTCAATTGGAAGCCAGGAGCTTGGGGGTTCCTCTGGGTCTCCCACGTGGGTACAGGGGCCCAAGCACTTGGGCCATCTTCCACTGCTTTCCCAGACCACAGCAGAGAGCTGGATTGCAAGAAGGGGAGCCAGGACACTAACCTGGGCTCACAGGGGACTTTGGCGCCACAGGCGGAGGCTTAGCCTACTACACCACAGAATGGACCCAAAAAACTCACTTTTATAACATGTGGTTCTCCTTTACAGCTGCCCATTCCCACACAAAAGTTAAGCCAGAATTCCACATTGGCATCACAAGGCATCAAGTCGGGGGAATCGTCTGCTCCTATTTCCACTCACAAGCCCTTCCTACAAGCACCCTTTGATCTTGCCAAATCTAAATACTTTTGCATACACAGATCCTGTTCTTCATCGACGCAGGAGAACCATTCTTTCAGCTCATTCTGACAGGAATAGTCTTTTTCCTGCTCAACCTGGTGAACTTTAATGATCTGTTCCTCTTCTGGCCTGGGAGGTTTTGGCACAGATGGGAAGACCTGGCTTTAGTCATACAGTAATTGAAGTTTCTGTGCCAGCCCGTGGCAGCTATGAGTCCTCAATACAAGTCATTGAATGGCCGTGTCTTTGGAAAAGTACAGCTATGCAACACAGCTTTTAGAATTGTGAACAATCCTTTACCAAAACTTTTCTATGTGGGCTCATGCAGCCTTCTCTTTCCCTGAGCTCCCGTTCATCTGTTAGGACTTTGCCATTCTTACTCCCCCTGAGGACTCCACATTCTCCCAGCACCCCTGCCCTGGGACACTTGTGGGAGAGGAATCCACAAATTCCTTCGAGGCTCCATCACTGGAACAAGTTCCCAGTAGCTGGAGAAGGCTCCAGCTGCAAACAGGAAGTTTTTGTACTTCTGGCTACTTAGCGCCTGGGGCAAGCACCGCAGTGTCCACCTGCAGACTATGCAAGAAGCGTGGTGAAACAAAACCAACCTCCAATTATGCCCACCTAGAAGCTGGTCTGTGCAGAAGCACGCAGGGCTGCTCTTTCCAGAACTGGTGTCTCCCGTGAAAGGCAGAACGGTCCTGTGGGGAAGTGTCAGGTCTCAGGCACACCCTCTCCCTTCTTCCACTTTTTAACATCTTGAGCGGGACATTTAAAAAACTGCGTTGGATTTTTTAAGTTTTCAAAGCATCCGAAGGGCAGTCCCCTTTGGCAGCGACAGCTGCACGCTGAGAGCCACAAGAGAAGCAGAGGCTGGTCTCCCAGCCTAATGCCTTTCTGCCTCCTTCAACGCCCAGGACCCTACCTTGCCCCTGCCTCTGCTCACAGGAGGGGCAAGACGCAGCTCTCCCCGGTCCGCGAGCCCGGCTCGTCAACACCCATCCATCTCCGGGCTCCCGGAGCAGCAGGGGACTCCCCACCACGCGTCCAGGGCTGGCCTCGGCTACTGAGGACCCGAGGCGCACGGCCGCCCCCGCGCAGGTCCGAGGGATGTAGTCAAGCCCCGGGGAGGCGGGTAGCCCAATGGGCAGCCTCGCCCCGGAGGCGGGCCCAGGCCGGAAGCCACCCCGCGGCACGGCGGCCCCGCGAGACGGCGCTCGCGCCCCCGCCTCCTCCTGCACCGACTCCGCGGCCCAGGGCGGCAGGGGCCAGCCCGCCGGGTCCCCGCCGCGCTCTTTGTCCTGGCCGCGCGCGGGCGAACGCGTGCGCCCCCCCGGGTGAAGGGAGGTGCGGAGAGCGAGCGTGCGGGAGCGCGCGAGAACGGCTCGTGCCCGCCGGCGGCGCGCGCCCCTCCGCCAGGCAAGCAGCGAGCACGCGCGCCGCCGCCGCGCCCGCCCCTCCCCCCGCGCTCGCCTCGGAACTTGCTGACTGCGCGGCCGGGAGGAGCCGAGCCGGGCGGCGGCGGCGGCGGCGGCGGCGGGAGGCCACAGCGCGCGGGGGTCTCCCGCGTCCCCTCCGCCTCGCCGGGAGCTCGCGCCCTCGCCCAGGCGAGCTCCCACCCCCCACTTTTTCCCGAAGGCGCTGGGCGGCGCCACCCTCCGGCCGGAGCCCGGCACTGCACAACCCCCTCCGACTTTCAATGTTCCACACTCCCCGGCCAGAGCCTCCTCGGCTTCTTTTTTTCCCTCCCCCCCCTTTCCCCCCCCCCAGCTGCCTCCATTTCCTTAAGGAAGGGTTTTTTTCTCTCTCCCTCCCCCACACCGTAGCGGCGCGCGAGCGGGCCGGGCGGGCGGCCGAGGTAAGGCGGCGGGGCCGGGGGGCCGCGTGGGGGGCGGCCGGGGCGGCGGCGGCGGTGGGGGAGGGGGCGGGGGCGGGCAGCTTTGTTCGCGCCGGGCGCCCGCGCCGCCGGTGTCCGCGAGCCGCGGCGGGGCCGGCCGGGCCGCTCGCATCACTTGGCGCCCGGCGCGGCGAGCGCTGCCCGCGGCCCCCGCGCGGCCCTCCCCACAAAGGGCCGCGGAGCTGCGTGGCCGCCGCTGCCGCCGCCGCCGCCGCCGGCCCCGGCTCGCCTCGGCGGGCGCGGAAATTTGTTGCACTTCTTGGGGCTTTGTTTGTTTGTTTGTTTTGCCTCTGGGCTTTTTTTCCCCCCCCTCCTCTTCTCATTATTTTGGACAAAATGTCGGTCCGTGATGTAAAAATTGAGCGAGGGACCTTGGTGGCATTGGGAGCTTTGCAGAAGGTGCAGTTTGGATTCTGCTCTTCCCAGGATGGCAGCTCGGTCTTGGCCGGCTGAGTCTTCGCTGCTGGCCGTGGAGGCGGCTGGAGCAGCTCGTTAGTTGATTTTTAAAATTTTTTAAGTGTAGTGTTTGAAGGCTTTACGTGCACAGAGGAGGGGGGGGGGATCGCCACGTTAAATAAGCATATGGGCGATTAACAGGGTATGTTTTCCTCTCGGGAGGGGAATTTGGTGGCTTTGACCAATGTCAGTGTGTAAATATTTAGACGTTATTAGTGACTTTTTCACATTTTTCAGCGAGATCTGTTATTTACAGCGTGTCATATGTTAAGTTTCCTGGCAGATCTGTCTCATGCCTTCTCAGAAAGTAGACAATTGATAGATTGTCCAAGGGGCTGGGGGAAAAATGTGAGTGGGTTTTCTAACTTGAGTCCGGTCAGTCCCTGCGTGCTGGTGTTGAGAGACACACATCACCTCCCCTGTAACCTTGGTGCACGGTGAGATAAGTGTGAACCCTCCTGGCGCTTTTTCATTAAAATACCATTTTAGGGGTCTCCCAGGAGGAGAGAATGCTGCTGGTTTATTTCCTAGAGCTAACCTTTCCTTCCCCTCCCTCCCTCTCTTCAAAAGTTTTCCAAGAGGTCACTTCACCAAGATGTCCAGTGATAGGCAGAGGTCCGACGATGAGAGCCCCAGCACCAGCAGTGGCAGTTCAGATGCGGACCAGAGAGACCCAGCCGCTCCAGAGCCTGAGGAACAAGAAGAAAGAAAACCTTCTGCCACCCAGCAGAAGAAGAACACCAAACTCTCTAGCAAAACCACTGCTAAGTTATCCACTAGTGCTAAAAGGTAATGTGTAAACCGAGGGGCGAGGGCACCCTCCGGCTGTCTTACAAATGGTCTGCTGCTTCTGTTGGTTTTACACACTACTGATAGTTGAGAAATACTTCACGACCAATTGGATTTGTACCTGAATGAGATGTCATTCTTCAGGAGGTGGTCGGATGAGCGACCTTGCTAGAATTGTACTTTTAAGCAAACTTACTGTGTACTCTGGTAACCTCAGTGAGAACGTCCTTGATTGGAGATTGGACTAGCATTCTGACAGATTAAGGAATTGGCAAGGAGAAATTTGGTGGACCCAGATGAGGTGGTACACAGGGGATGTTTCCTGTTGTGGGTCATACCTTCTATGGTGGAATTGATCAGCAGTGCTCCCCTTTCTGCAGCTGAATGATCAGAAATGATCACGTTGGATGGGAAACTTATAAATCCCAGGCCTTGGCTATGTATTTGAAAGCAGATTGAAAATTATGCCCTGAATCGATTTCACTTTTTCAAACAAGACTTTTACTTCTGCATCAAGGGTATAACTTTTGGTAGTTAAATGGTGGTTACCCCCTTCATCTTGTGAAGGCAAATGCAGTTGAAAAGTAGCCATTTCCATTTCAGGTGTCAGTTGCTAATTGGAAACTTTCATTGTCTTTGAAATTGTCATTGACTCCTCACTCAAACTCCTAGGTGTGCTTGACACACTAATATTCAACAGCAGGAGAAACATATTTTGTTGGGTGTAAGTGAAAGATCATTTGTTTCTTGTTGATTTCTATTTTCTATGAGGGGAAAACACTGCTTCTGTCAGTGAGACTCGGTCGGTAGCAGTAGTGGAGTGCCTTGTGGAACTGTAATTACACGTAAAATGTGTCTGCAGTATTAACCAGCAGTGACATTTTGATTTTTTGTTGTTGTTGACTACAACTAAAAGAAAAAGAAAATGCAAAAGCTGATCAAATAACTGCATTTTATAGTGATTCAGAAATGCTGTTTTTAATGGATATACACCTTTATTATATCAGTAACCAGGTTTTAATAACTTGAGAATATTTTATCAAATGGCTTCAATCTTGGATGTAATTTAAATCTGCAATTTATTGTAGTCTTGGAGAATATATTAAACACATTTTAAGTTTTGAAAGAGTCTTAAATTTGAAGAAAATCAGGGAACTACTTTTTGCCCTGCTTTTAACTCAAGGCTGTATATCTTATCCTCCCCCACACCCCCAAATTCATTACATTTCAGTGCTGTGTCTAAGATCAGGGAAAACAAATGGTTAAATAAGAATGCCAAATAGTCTTTGGAAGTTTTTCACTGGTAAAGATAATTGTACATTTTAAACTTTTTTGGGGACAGATAAAATATTGTCAGAACTATTAATGTATTTCTGCAGTAGCTTGTTCATTTTTACCGCAGTAAAAGTGACTCGAAGTCATTGTCAAATATTCTAGTGCTTTCCCTCCTCCCTTTTTTCTCATTTGCATATAAGCTTGAAAAGAGAATTTCTTTGGTAAAAAGTGTTTTAAAATAGATTTCATAACCTTTCCTGACTGCTAGTGGAAGACTATTTCTCAAATCAGGTGTAAATGACTTACTTATTTACAGTAGCAAGTGAGAAAAAAAGCTGCAAAGTTTCTGTTCAGGGATTTGGGTTATGCCTCTGAGAACAAAGAGGAAGCAGCCATGTTAGCATTACTGAAGGCAAAGCCAGCCTTGCATTTAACTGCATGGTGGTAGAGGGCAGTGTAATTCCCCGGTTATTCTGTAGACTATCTCAAATCCTTTTTGTCTGTTCTCATTTCACTAACAGAATTCAGAAGGAGCTAGCTGAAATAACCCTTGATCCTCCTCCTAATTGTAGGTAAGAAAGGAATTTTGTTTTTATTTCAAATTGTGGAAAAATAGCAAGAGATTAATATATCGTCCTCAGATATGTGTGCAGCAGAAAAGGCTACATTTGCTTCTTAACAGCTTTGCAAGTGCATTCAACAAAAATTATTTAAGGTGAATTATGAAATTGGAATGGGAAAATACTTTTTAGCTTGTGTCTTATGTTGTGGACTTAGGACTGCCGATTTTGTGCTTCTTAGATTAGTATGAGTGGATGGTGCTGATATTTGATCCTGTTGTATTTCTGTAGACTGTTTATTCAGAATCAGGAGTATATTGCAGAAACTTCTAAAATTTTATTTAACTTTAAAGTTACTGCTTGTGTGAAATTTGAATTGACCTGCCAAATTTAGAAATTGCTGAATGTGGTGTTACAAAATGTAAATGCAATAGTTGTTTCTGTTTGATTTATTCTGTAACTTGCCTTAAGGACAAATTTTATGTGCTAAGTTAATGGTTTTAGTTGTTTCTAGAGAATGCATTGTTGGAATTATTTACATTTTAAGCAAATGTCCTGATTACTGGGGAAAAATTTTAGTAAGCAGTAAATGAATTGGAATTAAAGAATTCATTTCAGTGGAACTCAGAAATAATTTAGATTATTGGTATAAAATGCATTGAAAGTAGCTGGTTGATAATTTTTTCCCAATGTATATATTTTTTCATTTCATGTTACATAGTGCTCTTTTTTAACAATGACTGCATTAATCAAATTTGGAATACAGTATTATAGGTAATTTGCATATGGAGATGTGTCCAAGAATGACAGTGGCTGCTAGAAATCAGGGAGTGTAACTAGTTTGGAATGAAAATGTTTTAAGTGTCCAACCTGCGTTTTTGCTACAGGTTGTATTCACTTGTGATGATCAGATCTGTCTCTGAAGTCTACTTTAGATATAATAGGGTATAATCCAGTTGCTTCTTACTGTGTTTGTTAACTAGATCCTCAGCTAAGGTAATCTGATCCTGATTTATCCAGTGAATTAGCAGTTTTGCTTATATTTGTAATCACAATAATTTCAGTTCAAGAAGGAAACGTAAATGTTACCAGGTTTAAACAGAAAGTGGTATGTCAGATCTCAGAAGTGCTGTGCTTTACCGTAATGTAGTCACTAGCCACATCTGGCTGTTGACCACTTTAGTTGTGGCTAGTCCATGACATGTGCTATAAGTCTGAAATACACATCAGATTTTGAAAAGTTAATACAGGAAAAAAAATGTAAAATATTTTTTGAAAACCTATTACATGCTTAGATGGTAATGTTTGGGATATGTTTGGCTATATTTTATTGAGTTGTTTTTTTTTTACCATTTTAATGTGGTTATCAGAAAATTTAAAATTACGAATGTGGCTTGCATTATATTTCTGTTGAACAACACGGCTTTGGAGAGTAAGCAAATCAAAGTATTTCCTTCCAGCCTTCTAAATGATATGTCAAATGTGCAGCCGTTTAGGAAGGTCATGTTAAATTTGCTCCTTGGAAGAAACACTTGCAGAGTGTATTCTGATATTTCTCAATATTAAAGATATAAAGATATATCAGTTCAAAACTCTTAAATGTTTTAAAATTTCATGTAAGATCAGATATTCTTAAAGATTTCTGTTGACTTTCTGCCAAGAAAGCAAACTGGTAAAAAGGTGTGTATCTGGAGAGCTCAGTTAGTAGGTAGATATGTGTTGAGTGCCCCCTGAGCAGTAGCCTGGTGTTGCAGTGGCTAAAGAAGTCTGCTTTATATGTTTAACTCAGAAATGGTTCCACAAGGTCACTGGAGATTATTTTAGAAATAAGAATGTGTGAGATAAAAAGTTTTCCTTGTCTTCTATTTTTCTCTTCGTATACCAGATTTCATTCACCTCCATGAAAGAGTGTTTCACAGTTAATAATGAGACTAGCAAAATAGCAAAACTTCGGGCTTGCTTGGGCACAGTAATATGGAATCTCTTCTTTCTTTGTCACAAACCAATAATGATTTTCAGCTGTTGTAGATCACATCTTTCATTTCACTCTCAGGTTCTTTTAATATAGGAGTTTCTTTGGCTTTGTAATTAAAAAAATGAAGCATAATAAATAAGTCTTAGTAGAAAATAAGAAATGTTGTCTGTTACTACTTTGGGGACAGTCTACTTCCATATGCCTCATGTGTAGCATATCCAAATATTCTGTATGTCTTCAGATTCTTTGGGTGGAAGAAGGCCTAGTCATTGACCTTGAAGAGAAATTTGGAAGATTATGTGTTTACTGGAGGCATTTTTGAGTTTTGACAGATAAGTCTGCATTTGTTGTAGTTTTGCCCTCATGTCAGGTCTCTGGCAGATAGTAGTGTTAACGTTCTTTTAATTCACAGATGCATAAATAGAATTTTCACTTTATGATGATTATATGGCTTAAATTTATTTATGCTATAATTAAAAATATGATTCTATATTCATAAATCCTAAAATGTGTGAACTCATATTGTCTGAGCTCTATGAAACTTAATAATTCCAACTTTTCATGTGTAGTTATTTAATCAGAATTCCATTATGGTTTTGAATTTGATTTTTACAAGCTTGTCAATGTGCATGACAGATTTAATGTTTCCTTGGGGAAGAAATGTAAAGTATACATTCAGGAAAAAGTTGAATGAAATATAAGAAAGCTCAACAAAACCAAAGTTCTTCAGACTAGGGAAATTTCTCTTAAATATCTTCCTTTAGTATATTTTAAAATTGTTATATAGTTGTATCTAATATATAATATCTATCCAGAGTTATCTTAGGATAGATTTAATTGTTGAATTAAGTGTATGGTTTTAAATATGGTGGAATATATTTTGAGAGTACTGATTTTTTTCCCCTCATTGTGTAGGAGGTTGATAAAGATGTTATTTCCAGTGATCTGCTGGGCCATGGGTGAGAGCACCCTAAATATAGGAATACAGTATTTTTTGGGTTAAATTTATACTCTACATACTGTATTGTAGATGAAGATACAAATAAATAATAACACCAGTGAGAGTGAAGGAAAGTTGTTTTATAGGCATTTCCCTGTTTTGAGAGAACATTGTCAATTTGACTTACTTATGCATTATTAGAACATTTATATTCCATGTTTCCCAAAGGTATCCTTGCACTCTCATAGTTACCACTTATATAGTTGAAGTGTAGAAAGGTACTGGGCTTCTAACTTACCCTAAATGTCTTTCCATATATGAAAAAGTACAAATACACTCTTAAAATACTCTTTAATATGTTTAGATTGAATTTATGTTAAAATAGATGCTTAAGGGTTTATGTAAATTTTTGGTTGTGGGAAAGGCCTTATTGGCATAGGTGTGAGCTGGGTTAATAGTATTAATAATATGTTGACTAGCAGGGCCTGATCAGGTATAATACTTGCACATTTTGCTAACTTCTTAAAAAAAAATCACAAAAAGAAACTGTTAAATTCTAACCAGAGGTTTGCAAGGCTTAGGTGGCTCATAAGCGTAATTGTCTGAGGATGAACTCTGCCTCCTTCTGAGGGTTGCCCCCACCTTCTGTCGTTTTATAGGATATGCTTGGATTTTGCTACTTAAGGGGTGATCTGCAGACCAGCAGCTTGTGGGTGAGAGTGTTAGATATGCAGAATGTTGCTTCCCCCTAATATACAAGTACTGAATCAGAACCTAATTTTAACAAGATTCTCAGCTTCATTGTACATACAGCAAGGTTTGAAAGGCACTGGTAGTGCAGCAAGACTGCCTGGGTTCAGATCCATGCTCTGCTGCTTGCTGGTACCCTAGCTACCTTAGATAATTTGAATATTTTTGTCTCTCAGTTCCCTCAGCTATAAAATGGGGATTTAGAAGATCTCCCCTTAATAGGGTTGTTGTGAGGATTAAATGAATTACTATGTTTAAAGTTTTGTAACAGTATAAATTGGGTCACTAAAGTGGCCACAGCATGAAGTAAAAGTAGAAGAATCAGTTTAGCAGCATGCCATCACTCTTGCTGGCATTTTCTCCAGTGCATCAACATCCCTTTATCAGAATAATTCCATCTTAATCAGTTCATCACCTAATTATTGAGTACATATCAAGTAGTTTTTTTAATGTTGATAAAATAAGTTTCTTGGAACTTGAGGGAAAAGGAAAATAAAACTTAAAAAGATTGGTCATAGCTGGACAAAATACTATATCCCTTTTGAAGGAATATGCATAAGATAAATGATACTTAATTCAATAGAGAATGTTATGACTATCCAGTATATCATAATAAAAACATTTTTAGGTAGGAGGTAGCTATCATTTTCTCTTTTTAAAAATATTCCATTATAAGAATTTGTGATTACTAAGAAAGGAATTATGTAAATATTTGTAAAATTCAGATTCTGAATGATACAGTTTACCAGTTGCTTAAATGGAGCATCCTTGTGTCTGTGATCTAAAGGTTTTTAGGGCTTTTTTTTTTCTTTATTTGAAAAGCAAAGAGACAGCAATTTCTCATTCATTGGTTCATTCCCCAGATTTCCTCAATAGTTGTGGCTGTGCCAGGCTAAAGCCAGGAGCCCAGAACTTCATCCCAGTCTCCCATGTGGGTGGCAGGGACCTAAGTACTTGAGCCATCATCTGCTGCCTTTCAGGTTATGCGTTAGCAAGAAACTGGAGTTGAGAGCAGAGGGATTGGAACCCAGGTGCTTTGATAGGAGATGTGTGTCTTCTAAATGGTGTCTTGACTGCTGCACAAAATGCTTGCCCATCATAGATCTTGAAAGATATTCTTAGCTGGCTTAGGAAGTCAGGTAATATTATGGAATTAACATGTGATATCTCCTTAGTTTTGTTGGTTGCTTACACAGTACTTAATTTTAAGCCCTCCCACATATAGCTAGCTTGCTTTTTATTTTTTACTTACATATTCATTTGTTTTATTGTTTTACTTACATTGGATAACATGAAGGCACTTTAATTTATAAAACAAAGTTGTCTGAATAATTATGTAGTCCTTTT